TCTCTGCAGCATTAGTCTCCAGATGCATGGCTTAAATGCCATAGGGAAAGAGTGTATGTGCTCTATACGGATAATTAAAGGCAAACTCCAGAATAGGCAAGAATGCTGTGTGTGTCATACCCTGCAATTCTTGTGATAACATCAACGTTGCTTTGATCTAAAGGCAGGATTTATAGTGAGTACATGTTCTTACACTAAAGACAGCAAGTAAAGTAGAAATCAGCAGGCATTCATGGGACTGAGATTAATCAAAAGGTAAACATGGCGGATTAACAGGAAAAATGGAGCCACTGTTGTCTTCACATTCATCAGTTTCTACTTTGTTTGTTTCTTAATAAGCATCTAAAGATTGCCACCCTGCTGGAGTGTGTCCCATGATCATCCCCTTTATTTTTTCCCTTAGTTATACCGCTGTCAATGTTGTCTTTATTCAAATTTATTTACTTATTCATTTAGAGACAGGGTCTCACCCTATTTCCCAGGCTGGAGTGCAGTGGTGCAATCTCAGCTCACTGCAACCTCCGCCTCCTGGGTTCAAGTGATTCTCGTGCCTCAGCCTCCCCCAGTAGTTGGAATTACAGGCCTGCATTACCATGCTTGGTTAATTTTTTGTATTTTTAGTAAAGACGGGGTTTTGCCACGTTGCCTAGCCTGGTCTTGAAGTCCTGAGCTCAAGCAATCTGCCTGCCTTGGCCTCCCAAAGTGCTTAGATTACAGGTGTGAGCCACTGTGCCAGGCCCTTTTCTTTAATTTGGATTGGCATTTATGTATACCATTTTCATTGTTCATCATTCTTTATTGTAACTCAGACTTCCCTTTGGGAACTTTCCTCCTTGAAACACATTCTTAAGAAGCCCGTAAATGTGCTTTATTTGGCTTGGAATGGAATTCTTTGTGTTTCCTGAATCTGAACATCTACGCATTTTAATTTGGGAAATTTTTCTACCATTCTCTCTTTAAATATTATCTTATCTATATTCTTTCTGTTCTCTTCTTCTGGAATTCCAAGTAGACATAATTAGACTTTAGTTTTTTTGTCTTTGTGTTTTAACTAGCATTTCATGTTTATATCTCTCTCTTCTGCATTCTGGGTAGTTTATGCCATGATAACTTATTTACCTCTGTCTTCTAGATTTATTATTTTCTTTTTAGCTATGTTTAATCTACATTTTAACGAGTCTAATGAGTTTTGAACTGTTGTTGATATTTATGATTTTTAGAAGGTCTTTTGTTTTCCCCATTCCAATATGCCTGGTCTTTGTTAGAGTCTCTCTCTTTTTTTTTTTTTTTTTTTTTTTTTTAGATGGAATTTCACTCTTGTTGCCCAGGCTGGAGTGCAGTGGCACAATCTTGGCTCACTGCAACCTTTGCCTCCCAGGTTCAAGCAATTCTCCTGCCTCAGCCTCCTGAGTAACTGAGATTACAGGCGCCTGCCACCATGCTTGGCTAATTTTTACATTTTTAGTAGAGATGGGGTTTCCACCAGGCTGGTGTCAAACTCCTGATCTCAAGTGATCAGTCCTCCTCGGCCTCCCAAAGTACTGGGATTACAGGCATGAGCCACCACATCTGGCCTAGGGTATCTTATTTGTTCATATTTTCTATTTTTAAATGTCTTATAATTTTCTCTATGGCATTGAAATTATCTTTTTAATGAAAAATACTATTCCATTATATTGATATATCTGCCTATATGTTTCCTTATTTCCTTGCTTTCAGCTTATGATAGTTTTTAGCTATAATATAGTTCAGCCACAAAAATCTTTTATACAGGAAGATCCCCAACCCCTAGTACTAAATCTCAATGAAATAATTAAAAATAGTAGTATTGAGTCATAGAGTTTAAATTATTCTTTTCTCATATTGCTGAATTTTTAAAAAGCAAAGTTACCAGTTTACATTGCTGCTTCCTCCCACTATTAGGTATTGCCATTTAATAGTATAACAACAGGAGTGCAAACTTCTGGAGTTGTATTGAACAGATTTCATTTCTTGCTTTTAAACATGTGACCTTGGACAAGTTAGTTAACCTCTATTTTAGTTCCTCATCTGTAATAGGATGGCTTTGAGGATTATATAAGTGGCAAATACTTGGTAGATAGTAAGACCTCAATAAATCAAGGCCATTATTTTAAGATATTTTTATTTGTGGTGGTTTTAATTTTTTATTCCTTCAGTGATGAATGAGACTGAGTATTTTCCTTCCTTTTTTTCTTTTTTGAGACGGAGTCTTGCTCTGTTGCCAGGCTGGAGTGCAGTGGCACGATCTCGGCTCATTGCAACTTCCACCTCCTGGGTTCAAGCAATTCTCCTGCCTCAGCCTCTCGAGTAACTGGGACTATAGGTTCGTGCCACTACACCCAGATATTTTTTTTTTGAGACTGAGCCTTGCTCTATGGCCCAGGCTGGAGTACAGTAGTATAATCTCAGCTCACTGCAACCTCAGCCTCCCAGGTTCAAGTGATTCCTGAGCCTCAGCCTCCCAAGCAGCTGGGATTATAGTTGTGTACCACCAAGATCGGCTAATTTCTGTATTTTTAGTATAGAGGCGGGGTTTCACCATGTTGGCCAGGCTGGTCTTGAACTCTTGATCTCAGGTGATCCACCCACCTCAGCCTCCCAAAGTGCTGCAATTACAGGCGTGAGCTACCTTGTCTAGCCTAATTATTGTAGTTTTAGTAGAGACAGGGTTTTACCACGTCAGCCTGGATGATCTCGATCCCTTGACTTCGTGATCCACCGGCCTTAGCCTCCACAAAGTGTTGGGATTACAGGTGTGAGCCACCACGCCCGGCCTGAGACAGTATTTTCTGAAGTGTTTTGGTTTTCTATTTATATTCTATCTCATGTGAATTATCAAATATCTCCTTTTCTTAAAATGGAAGTTTCACTGCAGAAGCGAGTTAACATAATAACACCAAAAGCACAAGTGCTAAAAGATTAACAAGTTGAACTTTATCACAGCTTCAAAAGTGCACCATTTTTAACCCATAGAATGGGAAAAATATTTAAAAATCATAGCTGAGCCTGGCATGCGGTGGCTGACACCTGTAATCCTAGCACTTTGGGAGGCCGAGGCAGGTGAATCACATGAGGTCAGGAGTTCGAGACTAGCCTGGCCAACAGGGTGAAACCCTGTCTCTACTAAAATATAAAAATTAGCTGGCGTGATGGCACACGCCTGTCATCCCAGCTACTCAGGTGGCTGAGGCAGGAGAATCACTTGAACCTGGGAGACGGAGATTGCAGTGAGCTGAGACTGAGGCACTGTGCTCCAGCCTGGGTGACAGAGCAAGACTCTGTTTCAGTAAAGAACTCTAACAAATCAATTATAACAAGGCAAATAACCAAAACTTTTTTTTTTGAAAACAGAGTCTTGCTCTGTTGCCCCGCTGGCAAGCAGTGGTGCAGTCATAGCTCATTGTAACCTTGAACCCTTGGGCTTAAGCAGTCTTGCTGCTTTAGCCTCCCAACTAGCCAGGACTATAGGCACATACCACAATGCTGGGCCAATTTCTAAAAATTTTTTTTGTTAGATATGAGGGTGTCATTACATTGCCCAGGTTTGTCTCAAACTCCTGGCCTTGATCAGTCCTCCTGCCTTGGCCTTCCCAAACACTGGGATTGCAGGTGTGAAACCACCATGCCTAGTCCCCAAGTTTTTTAAATGGGCAAAAGCTTTGAAAAGATATTTTTTCCAAAGAAGATACACAAATGGAAATAAGCACATGAATATAAGCCCAACATTAGTCACTAGGAAAATGCAAATCAAAACTACAATGAAATGTGACTTCATACTCACCAGAATGTCTACAATAAAAAAGAAGGACAATAACAACTATTGGCAGGGATGTGGAGAAATTGGAATTTCATACCTCGTTGGTGGGAATGTAAAACGTTATAGCCACTTTGGAAAACAGTTTGGCAGTTCCTCAAAACATGAAGCATAGAGTTGCTTAAAGACCCATCAGTTCCACTCATAAGAAATGAAAACATGTTCACATAGAAACTTATACACAAATGATCATAGCAGCATTATGTCCAGAATAAGCAAATGTGTAGAGACAGAAAGTAGATTAGTGGTTGTCTAGGGCTGGGGAAGGGTGGGGAAGGTAATGGGTAGTGACTTCCTGGTTACAAGGTTTCTTTTTGGAGTGAGGAAAATGTTCTAAAATTAGATTGTGGTGATGGTTGCATGACTCTATAAATATACTAAGTACTACTGTAATCTTTAAATTAGTGAATTTATGATATTTAAATTACATATTAATGCTGTTTAAAAGAAAGAATCCTTGGGCCGGGCGCAGTGGCTCACGCCTGTAATCCCAGCACTTTGGGAGGCCAAGGCGGGTGGATCACGAGGTCAAGAGCTCGAGACTATCCTGGTCAACATGGTGAAACCCCGTCTCTACTAAAAATACAAAAATTAGCTAGGCATGGTGGCGCGTGCCTGTAATCCCAGCCACTCAGGAGGCTGAGGCAGGAGAATTGCCTGAACCCAAGAGGCGGAGGTTGCGGTGAGCCGAGATCGCGCCATTGCACTCCAGCCTGGGTAACAAGAGCGAAACTCCGTCTCAAAAAGGAAAAAAAAAAAAAAAAAAAGAATCCAGTTGACATGTTGACCTCTCCTCCTGTACATTCATCTCTTGCCCAGATTGTTGGTTAACAGTGAGATAGATATATTTCATATGGTAATTCCTACTGTCAGAAAATAGTATATTTCAACTTAATGGATGTTTCATTTTGGTCTGATGGCTGATAATTTAAGTCTTGTGTTCTCTAGGTTCCATGTCCCCTATTACCAGCTGTGTGATTCTTGTTAGGCTACATTACATTATAGATTGTTCCTTTGTTTATAAAATTAGGGTAATTTTTGCTTATCCAGAGGATTATTGTGAGCTTCAAATAAAAGTGAGACAGCACTTTGAAAGCTGTGTAGTCCTAAATAAATATACGGTAGTGTTAAGATTCCTAAAGTTCTCTGTATTTTCTTTTCATAGGAGTGAAACACAAATCTTTTCTAACAGCTGAGGACTGCTTTGAGTTGGGTAAAGTGGCATATACAGAGGCAGATTATTACCATACAGAACTGTGGATGGAACAAGCGCTAAGGCAACTGGATGAAGGCGAGGTTTCTACCATAGATAAAGTCTCTGTTCTAGATTATTTGAGCTATGCAGTATATCAGCAGGGAGACCTGGATAAGGCACTTTTGCTCACAAAGAAACTTCTTGAACTAGGTATGTTATCTGGGCCTAATTTAAGGTTATAGTTCTATTGGGGGATACATATTCTCTATCTTTCTGTTTCTCCCCATTTAAATATTTCTGATATTTTTTTTATCTGTTAGAAGTCAGGAGCCTTATTTGTTAAACATACATTATCCTCTTCTTGTTTATTCTCGAAGTAAATGATGACAGATTTTTCTCACCTAATAGTGCTTACAACAGTGGTTGTGTTTCTCTGCTCTGTATTCTCCAGGAATTTCAAAATTGAAGCTAACCTAACTCAATTAAAAATGTTTGTTTGCCATGTTGCCATTTTAAATGTTAATCAATTTCCTTTGAAGGGTGTTATGTTTTATTGCATTTCATATTTTAAAATAAAGTGATTTAAAATAGATGGCCTAAAAATATATTAGATTATCATATTTAAATGTTAGAAAGGGCCGGGCGCGGTGGCTCACGCCTGTAATCCCAGCACTTTGGGAGGCCGAGGCGGGTGGATCACGAGGTCAAGAGATCGAGACCATTCTAGTCAACATGGTAAAACCCCGTCTCTACTAAAAATACAAAAAATTAGCTGGGCATGGTGGTGTGTGCCTGTAATCCCAGCTACTCAGGAGGCTGAGGCAGGAGAATTGCCTGAACCCAGGAGGCAGAGGTTGCGGTGAGCCGAGATCGCGCCATTGCACTCCAGCCTGGGTAACATGAGTGAAACTCCGTCTCAAAAAAAAAAAAAAATGTTAGAAAAATATTCCTTATGAGAATTTTATCAATAGTACTTTGAACAGAGATGTAGTGTTTTTTCAAGTATGGTCCAAGTAGCACATGCATCAGAATTACTTGGATACTTGTTAGAAATGAAAATTGTTTGATCTTTACCCAAGACCTACTAAATTGTAATCTCTGGAGATGGAATCCAGAATTTGTATGATAGTAAGTTTAGGTGGCCTTTGGTATATAAGGAAGCTTTAAAACTTTAAAAACTATTTTTATGAAATAGGAAAATATGTGTATGTTAGAAGAATCAAACAGCTCAAAAGGATTGATCTGCTGAAAATGAACTTTTGATAATTGGGTTATTTCTTAGGTGGGTGATAATAAATTAAGATATTGGTTCAAGTAATCTTTTTTCCTTTCAGTATTTTGCAGTGATATTTCCTCTTAGTTTAAAATGTACTTTTATCAGGAGGCTGAGGCAGGAGAATTGCCTGAACCCAGGAGGCGGAGGTTGCGGTGAGCCGAGATCGCGCCATTGCACTCCAGCCTGGGTAACATGAGTGAAACTCCGCCTCAAAAAAAAAAAAAAAAAAAAAAAAAATGTACTTTTAAATTTACATTATAGAACATTTATTAAAACAGAAAAAGATAGAGGAGAGTCGTCCATAAGCCAGTCACTCAAAGATACCTACACATTTGTTTCCTTTTAGAGTATAATCCCCTTCCCTGCACACATTTTTCTGTTGTTTTACAAAATTAGGTTAATATTGGATATTGTAATATATACTATGAGCAGTTTCTGAAGAACAAGAAATATTTTACAATCTAGGGCTATGTATCCTAAACAGTTACTGTCATAAGTGAAGTCTCTATATACCGTTCTGCCTTTTTATTTTTATGTGTGTGTGGTTCTTTAGTTGTTGTGTTTTTTTTTTTTTTTGCCTCTCAGATGGGCAGCTTAGTCTTCTTTTTTCCCTACTAAAAGGTAGTTCAATATTATGACTAGCAATTCCGAGGCAGTTAGTGGATTCTAGCTTGTTCGAAAATTGTATCTTTCGTTTCCCTTTTCCTTTTAACTTAGAAATTTGGGACTGAGATTCACTCAGCCCTTAGAAGCAGGCTACATTTATAATGTATCTGTGGTAAAGGTTGCTTTTGAACTGCGTATCCCCTGTCATCCTCATGTGATTATTTTTCAGTCTTGGAAAACTCTTTTTCATTGCTTAAAATAAGTAGGATGAGTGAGATTTTAAAATTCATTTGACATCAAATTGAACTTAGTTCCTTTAGCTGAGTGGTAAATTCTTAAAATAGAAGTGCTAGTTGCTACCTTTAAATAAATGGCTGTTTCTGTCTCCAGAACTGGATTTTTTTTTGTTGTTGTTGCCCAGGCTGGAGTGCAATGGTGTGATCGTGACTCACTGCAACCTCCGCCTCCCAGGTTTCAGGAATTCTCCTGCCTCAGCCTCCCCAGTAGCTGGGACTACAGGCACCCACCACCACCCCTGGCCAATTTTGTATTTTTAGTAGAGATGTGGTTTTGCCATGTTGGTCAGGCTGGTCTTGAACTCCTGACTTAGCTGATCTACCCACCTCGGCCTCCCAGAGTGTTGGGATTACAGGCATGAGCCACCGTGCCTGGCTCAGAACTGTTTTTATATAGGTGACTGTATGTCCTGATTTACTTGGGGGCAGTAGTAGCTTATACCTGTTGTTTTGGTATAATAATTTTTGTTAGTGCCTCGTTTCACTTACAAAAGCAACCTGATTTGGGAGATAAATTATAATGTCCACTATTTTTATATTACTGTATTCTCATCCTTGAACAAGCATGAACTTACCCATGGACATGCTTTGTTTCTCTTCTAATAGATCCTGAACATCAGAGAGCTAATGGTAACTTAAAATATTTTGAGTATATAATGGCTAAAGAAAAAGATGTCAATAAGTCTGCTTCAGATGACCAATCTGATCAGAAAACTACACCAAAGAAAAAAGGGACTGCTGTGGACTACCTGCCAGAGAGACAGAAGTACGAAATGCTGTGCCGTGGGGAGGGTATCAAAATGGTAAAGTGGAAAAGCCATTGTGTGTATGTAAATGTATGTGTATGTGTTTGTACACAGTTCTGGAGAGAATCAGTTATTTTATATTTAAGCCTATGTGATAAAAGTCTGAATGACTGCATAACATATTACAGTATGTCAGCTTGGGCAATATAGTGAGACCCCACTAAATAAAATCTAAAAATTAGCTGGGCATGTTGGTGTATACCTGTAGTCTTAGCTGCTCAGGTATCTGAGGTGGGCGGATCACTGTGTCCAGGAGTTTGGGGGTACAGTGAGCTATGATTACACCACTGCATTCCAGCCTGAGCTACAGAGTAAGACCTTGTCTCTAAATTTTTTTTTTTTTTTTTTTTTTTTTTTTTTGAGACAGAGTCTTGCTCTGTCTCCAGGCTGGAGTGCAGTGGCACAATCTCAGCTCACTGCAACCTATGCCTCCTGGGTTCAAGTGATTCTCCCCCCTCAGCCTCCCGAGTAGCTGAGATTACAGGCACACACCACCGCACCCAGCTAATTTTTGTATTTCTGGTAGAGATGGGGTTTCACCAATTGGCCAGGATGGTTTCAATCTCCTGACCTTGTGATCCGCCCGCCTTGGACTCCCAAAGTGCTGGGATTACAGGCGTCAGCCACTGCGCCTGGCCTAAAATCTTTTTTAAAAAAATTTCAGTATGCGAGGTTATCTCTCTCTGGGTGCCACATTTAATATGTTCCAATTATTAGTAAAATAGCTTTAAAATAAAGCTTGTGAATCATATACTATTACATGTTTGTGGTAATATTACCTTCCAGGGTGAAGGATCAAATACGTTTAAAGGAAGTCATAGTTTTTCTTTTATTTAATGCAAGAGAGTTCTCAGCAGTACTTTTTTTTTTTGAGACAGAAACCCACTCTGTCATCCAAGCTGGAGTGCGGTGGTGCCGTCTCGGCTCACTGCAACCTCTGCCTCCTGGGTTCAAGCAGTTCTTGTGCCTCAGCCTCCCAAGTAGCTGAGACTACAGGCATTCACCACCATGCTCGGCTATTTTTTTCTACTTTTAGTAAAGACGAGGTTTCGTCATGTTGGCCAGATGGTCTGATTCCTGACCTCAGGTGATCCGCCCACCTCAGCTTCCGAAAGGTGGGAGGTGGGATTGCAGGTGTAAGCCACCATACCTGGTGGTTCAGCAGTCTTAATTAGAGATGATAACACTATTCTAACCCATCTTAAGAGATACAACAGATTCATCTATACAGTAATCCCTTGTAGTTTTGCTCCTAATATTGACAAGATTGCTTAGTGAAATGCTTTAGTCTATTTAATACTCAAAAGGCAGAAAGTTTTTAACAGATTTTGTCTTTAATATTTCTTTAAAATATATCTAATTTTTTTATTGTATATTTATATTTATGTATTTATAATTCAGAATTCCAGCTCTATAGATGTTAATAGATATTAGGCCAAAAGTAAAAAAGAACAAAGTCTGGGGAACATTTGTTAAACAAAGTTGAATACTGGTTTTTGTTTAGCCTCAAGACATCTCATAATCTTTTTATAATAATGTGCATTATGATATGACATACATTGTTTCTCAAGATTAATTGATTATGGAACCTTTTGAAAGGAATATGTGGTATTAGCTTTCAGTTGAACGCAGGCATTCATCCAAAGAATTAGTGAATTTTTGGAGTGAGTACTTTTAAGTGTAAACATTTGAAAAGTGTTTAAAATTTTCTTTCCTACTAATAAACTCAAGCTGGGCTTTACGTTTTGATATTGATGACTGTTGACAGCTTAACCACTAACACCAAAGTATGTAATACCTATGGTGACACTTAATGATAGTTAGGTTCATGAAGTCCTAGGAGGACATGCTTGAGCTAATGGGTAAATACAAAGATAGTGACACTGTTAGACTCATTAAACATTTTCTTTTCTGTTTCATTACATATTTTAGTATGTATCTTTTAAAGATACAATTTCAAAATAATTACAATATTATTATCACTAAAAATTCACAAGTTTTGTAATACCAAATAGCTAGTGTTCAAATTTTCAGAGTAAGCAGAAATTTTTATTGCTCTTACTAACTCTTAAAGAACAAAATAAAACTGTAGCTATAAAACGAGAGTCTGCTAATTTGCAAGTTTGTTAATGTAACGCATACTCAGCTTTGCCTAAGATCAAAAGAACATTCTTGCTGGGCATGATGGCTCACGCTTGTAATCCCAGCACTTTGGGAGGCCAAGGTGGGCAGATCACCTGAGGTCAGGAGTTCAGGACCAGCCTGACCAACATGGTGAAACCCCATCTCTACTAAAAATACAAAAAGTTAGCCAGGCATGGTGGTGGTTGCCTATAATCTTAACTATTCGAGAGGCTGAGGCAGAAGAATTGCTTGAACCCAGGAGGGCAGAGGTTGCAGTGAGCTGAAATCATGCCATTGCAATTTAGCCTAGGCAACAGAGCAAGTCTCTGTCTAAAAAAGAAAAAAAAAAAAAAAAAGGGAAAAAAAAAAAAATACAAAAATTAGCCAGCCATGGTGGCACACACCTCTAAATTCCAGCTACTCAGGATGCTGACGCTTGAGAATCCGCTTGAACCTGGGAGGCGGAGGTTGCAGTGAGCCAAGGTCGCACCACTGCACTCCAGCCTAGGCAAAAGAGCAAGACTGTCTCACTCAAAAAAACAAAACAAACAAACAAAACCACCATTCTTTTTCTCAGAATAGCTAAATTCATCTCATCATTATATAAAATACTTATGAAAAATTAAAGCCTTGGATTTGACTCTAGATAAAGTACAGGGAGAATAAACATGAATCATTCTTTGTTTTATTGTATCATTAGTATAATAATTGAAATAAACTAATCATATTCCTGCTTATGTGACATACTTGTTTTTGTTTTGTTTTGTGTTTTTGAAACAGCATCTTGCTCTGTCACCCAGGCTGGAGTGTAGTGGCATGATCATGGCTCACTGCAGCCTCTACCTCCTGGGTTTAAGCAATCCTCCCATTTCAGCCCCTCAAGTAGGTGGGACTACAGGCAAGTGCCTCCATGTCCAGCTAATTTTTAAAATTTTTTGTAGAGATGAGATTTTGCTGTGTGACCTAGGCTGGTCTTGAACTCCTGGGGCTCAAGTGATCCTCCTACCTTAGCTTCCCAAAGTGCTGGGTTTATAGGTGTGAGCCACTATGCCCGGCCTGGCATACTTGTTTAGTAAACAGAAGAATAAGCATCAAAATAACTTATTTTATTAATATAATATATATATGATTGAAGGTTTTGTTGACTGCTCTGTTTTTATATTCCTTAAAAAAAGTGTCTGGGATCTTTGTTTAATAACTTACTTTCTGCTGGCTGTAATCCCAGCACTTTGGGAGACCAAGGTGGGTGGATCACAGGGTCAGGAGACTGAGACCATCCTGGCCAACATGGTGAAACCCTATTTCTAATGAAATTACAGAAATTAGCTGGGCATGGTGGCGGGCGCCTGTAGGCCCAGCTATTCAGGGAGGCTAAGGCAGGAGAATCGCTTGAACCCAGGAGGCAGAGTTGCAGTGAGCAGAGATTGCGCCACTACACTCCAGCCTGGCAACAGAGCAAGACTCCATCTCAAAAAAACCCAACAACCTTATTTTCTGTTTTTCAGAGACTATCCATTTTTTATTTTGTCCTTAAAAAATTCCTTTTCTTTCTTTTTTTTTTTCTTTTTTTTTTTTTTTTCACACTATCGCTTCAAGCATTTAACTATTCAGGAAAACCTAGTTGTTTTTTTTTTTTTTTTTTTTTTTTTTTTTTTTCTTCTAGAAACTTTTTGTCTCTGGGTGTTTCCCAGTTACTTTGTGCCATTTAGAGCAGTGCTGGGCATTCATTTGATATTTTCATAAATATGGCATTGTTTCTTTCATATCTAAACATTTGAACTTTATTTTGATGAGAGAAGGGTTAAAAGAGATACACTACCTTTCTCCTTAAGACCTCGCCTCTCTCACTTAGAAAATAATCATTAATGCTGTATTTAAATTATGAACGTCCTGTTTGAGGCAAAATATTCACAGAGTACTGCTTCTTTTGTATAGTTTTCCAGAGATACTTTGTATATGCAAGCGTTATTGTCTCTTATCTGTATAGGAATAGATATTAAAAGTAATATTACTCTGATATATATATCGTATTTTTAACTTTATGTTTAGACCCCTCGGAGACAGAAAAAACTCTTTTGTCGCTACCATGATGGAAACCGGAATCCTAAATTTATTCTGGCACCAGCTAAACAGGAAGATGAATGGGACAAGCCTCGTATTATTCGCTTCCATGATATTATTTCTGATGCAGAAATTGAAATCGTCAAAGACCTAGCAAAACCAAGGGTAAATAATGTTTTCTTTCTCCTCAATTTACTGTACCTTTGTATGAATTTTTCTTTGTCAGAAAACAGAAAGGATAATTGATACACCAATAACACCACAAATTTTTTTTAAAGATACAATGGAGTTACTAATGACATTCTCTTTATGCCAGTTTTTCCATTTTGTTATTAACACATCGTATCCTTCAACTAGGTCTTAAGCACTGAATTATGAAAATTATTGATGAGATTTTTATTCACTGTTAACACTGTTTCACTGTCTTCCGTATAAACTTTTCTATATATTTTGAAGTCTTCTAATCTCAGAGGCTACTCAAAGCCCAGCTTTTTCATAACGTCTGTATTTTTATTGAAAGAATACTTTGGAAGTATTTTTTATTCCCTTTTAGGCACATTGTTACTATTATAAAAAGATATAACTGGGCACAAGCATCATGTTAATTTGAAATGGTGACATTATAGTTTTCTGACTTTAACCCACATAATTTATCTTAACAAGAAAAATAATCTAATGTAAACCCAATCTATAAGCTTAGTGTTTAGCATAAAAACTCTTCTTTAGTGAGAATGTGGAAAAGACTGTTCTTTATGCTCTTGCCTTTTCCCCCATCAGCTTGTTATTAAAACATATTTGGTCTTCTTGATAGTAAAATATAAGCTGCCATCACTTTCATAAAGAGATGGTTGAATACATTTTTTTTTTTTTTTTGAGACGGAGTTTCGCTCTTGTTACCCAGGCTGGAGTGCAATGGCGCGATCTCGGCTCACCGCAACCTCCGCCTCCTGGGTTCAGGCAATTCTCCTGCCTCAGCCTCCTGAGTCGCTGGGATTACAGGCACGTGCCACCATGCCCAGCTAATGTTTTGTATTTTTAGTAGAGACAAGGTTTCACCATGTCGACCAGGATGGTCTCGATCGCTTGACCTCGTGATCCACCCGCCTCGGCCTCCCAAAGTGCTGGGATTACAGGCTTGAGCCACCGCGCCCGGCCTGAATACATTTTAAGCATGCTTTTGCTGTGTTACCACACAGGAGTTGGCAGATTTTTTTCCATAGAGGTCGATATTAGATATTTTTTAGGCTTTGGAGGCTACATGATCTCTGTCATGACCGTTTAGCTCTGTCATTATAGTGCAAAAGCAGCCAAAGAAAATATGTAGATGAAAGAGTGTGGCTATATTATAGTAAAATTTTATTTCCAATGACAGGTAGCAGGCTGAATTTTGTCTGTGGCCATGGTTTGTTGACCCTTGTTATATCAAAGGTTTGAATTATCTGGACATCTGTACTGCCAAATGAACTTAGAATTTTTTTTTAGAGCTTCACTGCTTTTCCAAATTGATGCTTTTTTTTTTTTTTTTTGGCCAAAGATTACCTTATAAATGCAAAGACTGGTCCAATATTAATATGTATTATTGGTGCCGTCCAAGGGAATTAATTCATTTCAGCTTAGAGACCAAGTTATATCCTGGAAATTCCTCAATTTGGATTGTTTTTGATGAATAACTAACGGCAATAAAATTTAATGCTCTTACAACCTCAGAATCATACTTCCATTTAAAAAAACTGGAAATTATTATCAAGGCTGTTATCTCTTTCTTACTGATTTTAACATTTATGAGTTCTTTTCCTCTGCCTTTGTTCTCAGTCCAAGATTATTTTACCGTATATGTTAATGAATGGATACCTTGAAGGAACAAAAAAAATTGACCTTAAAATGAATTGTAAACATTAACCTTTGCAAACAGTTCCATCACACAAAAAGGTTAAAGTCAGGTTTTGGAATGGATCATTAACCGCAAAAGCCATTCTTCTTTTTCCACCCCCTTTCCCCACCCTCAGATGGTCACTTATATAAACTGTAAATTAGATTTCAAATTTTAGAAATTTCTCATTTTCTCACTGTCATATCCTAATTTCTAATCTCTTTTGTGTGTATTCCCTCCATCTATGCAAAACAAACAAAAAATTGAAAGAAAAAAAAAACCTAAAAAACTAACTGGCTCTCAAGGCTCAAGGTTCAAGGCTCAGCACAAGGTGACTGGAAGAATATTGGAGTTATTTTATTTTTTTAGCCTCCTTTGTAAAAACCCCAGAATTCTGACTGGTTGGGTAAATGTGATTCATTTTTTGTCTTGTAATGCAACTATTTTGATGGTTGGCTTCACAGCTGAGGCGAGCCACCATTTCAAACCCCATAACAGGAGACTTGGAGACGGTACATTACAGAATTAGCAAAAGGTAAGAGATGCGTATGCTGCATATTTTGCCCTCTAATGAGTATTTTGTACATCCTACAGGAATTATTCATTTAAGGGAAGTAGGTCATTTTCAGTCTCCAGCTCAAGTCACCACCCTGTATATAAACAGGATAGCGCATGGATAAACTGCTTTGTGTTTCACAGGTCTTTCTCCTTCACTAGAAGTTCTGTTTTTAATCTTTAATTAGTATGTTATTTTTAGGGAATTAATATGCTTTTTATCTTTCTGCAGATCAGGTATCAAATATCCAGGAAATGGCCTGACACATGTTTTCTTTTTCCTGTTTGTTGCTAAAGGGGGAAATAAAGCAGCAGTCTCTTGAATCTGGGAGTAGTAGTCTTCACTTCGGCAGTTTTCTCACATTCATAAATGCTGCAATGATTCATATCATCCTTCATGGTGATTGTTTTGGCATTTGTTTACACATCTTGTAAAATACCATTGTCATTATGTAGTAATCTGTATTCCTCCTGTTGGAGTTTTTAAAAAATTCGCTGACTCAAAAGTTGGCAGTAGGTAGAACAGAGTTATGCTTCTGAGTTCAGTCTTCCAGAAATTACTTGTAAACTTAGTTTCCTTTTACTTTGCCAGATAAATTTAAAAACAGTTTTATCTTAGTGAGAGTTTTAAAAAATGAATTTAAGGAGTCTACTTTTTTTTTTTTCAAAATATTTAAGTAACTTAAACTTCTAGACCTGAGAAAGCTCCTGTGAAACCCAGTGCTATAAATCATTTACATACAGCTTCAAATGATTTAAAAAAAGTGAAAGGACAATAAATACACAAGAAAAATCTGTCAACTCATTTTCTCTTGATTTGGAAGTGGCCGTTCTTATTGCCACCCTTCTAAAAGTTTTTGTGGATTTGAGACCATAACCCACCATCCAGACCAATCTGAACCCTTCCAATCACCTGTGGCTTGGCAAAACAAAACAAACAGCCCAAAATTGCCTGCTACTGGAGTAAGTCCTTGTCCTTTCTCTTTTTTTGTAGCTGAGCCGAGCTACAGTACATGACCCTGAGACTGGAAAATTGACCACAGCACAGTACAGAGTATCTAAGAGGTAAGGGAGTAATGGAGAGAACTTTAGTCATATTTGGACCATTTCTTTCTTGGGAATCTAATTTTCTCAAAACTCATAATATGGTTTCTAAGACCTCGATGGTTAGGCATAGATATTTGATAAAATCTGTGCTGGAGTTTTCATGATGGACTAATAAACATGGTTATGGAGTAGTTAATAGGGGTTTTCCAAAGTAACATTAACTTATAGAATGTCTTTTGAGGCTCCCAAACTTTGATAAGTGAAATGTGTTCTCATATTCAACTAAGAGAAGTTTCCAAATTCCCTTCATTAAACAAGGCCTCATGTGGACTCCGTAGTAAAGCAGGGGTTTAAAAATTTCAGGGTCACCCAATAGCTACAGGTATTGAGCAAGTAAATGCCTTGAATGGCTATATAACAAAGCCTTTGCAAGTTCCTTGCTTTTAACAATGTTTAAAGAGAATCTTAATAGGTTATTAGTTGATTGATTACTAAAATAATTTTTTAAAAAGAGCTCACTTTGTAACTTAGATCACAGAATTGAGTGACATTATTACAATAGAACTCCTTTTCCATCTACTTGTGAAGGTTTCTCAGTTCTCATGAAAACAGAAATACCTTTGTGCTGAATTCTGTCTTATTCTAACAATTAGAATATTTATTCACAGACACAATAACTAATTAAAAATAAGCATAAGCCCTATCCATCTCATTAGGAACATCTTAATATATTTCACTTTTTTTATATTTGATATTCTTTAGTCATGTTATTTAGATTAACATGTGAATAATAATTATAGTAACAATCCAGAAGATATTATCTTTAACACAGCCTTTTTGTTTTAAGAAATTCATATTTTTGTTAATTGTATAAATATTTTTATTATAGAGAAGTATAATGTAATAAAAGATTTTCAGGCAGCAGACCACATTACCATGTATGTACCTATGCAACAATCCTGCATGTCCTTTACATGTACCCCAGAACCTAAAATGCAATTATATATGTGTACGCGCGCGTGTGTGTGTGTGTGTGTGTGTGTGTATAAAAGATTTTCAGGCATAAAAAATGTGTCACTCTAGGACAAGGTTTCTTTGCACTATTGACATTTTGAATCAGATAATGTTATTGGGGGCTGTCTTCAGCTTTGTAAGATGTTTAGTAGCATCTGTGGCTCACTAGATGCCAGTAAGGCCCTTCTTCCAGTTGTGACAATCAAAAATGTCTCCAGACATTGCCAAATGTTCCTGGTAGGTAAAATCCCCACCACTACTTTTAGTGACTCCCCACTGTGAGAATCACTGTTCTAGGATAAGAATGGAATGAAAATTTAACATCAGGAAAAACAAAGGTGTAAAATGTCCAAGTATTAAAAAATATTCATACATTTTAAGTGGATGATGGTGGATATTAAATCATTATGGTATTTAGATTCCAGTGGAGACATTTTAAAAGTAATCATTTTTTAGAAATTACCAACATTTTCAGTATGACAGAATTAAATCATTCAAAACTCAATGTTATTTGTCAACTAAAAAATTGTGCAAAGGTGCACATAGATTTTAACAAGTATCTTAGGAGATACTCAAATTTGAAGATTACTACTGTCTTCAAAAAGACAAAATGATTAGGCTGGACCAAATGCATTGATTCAGCATTTCCTTTTTCTTTTTTGGGCAGAACCATATGCCTTCCATTTATTAACCTTAAACATTACCATGCATATGTCTTGGTTTCTTGTCTCTACCATATAACACCACCTGCCATTTTGCCCTAGTAAATGTAAGAGAGAAAAAGTTTTTTTCTTGCCTATCACTAGCTTCATGGCTGAGACCCCTATACCAAAAGTAAGATTAACAAGAGAAAAGCATACAAGTGTATTTAATATAAAATTTACATGACAAGTACCCTTTAGAAATGAGGACCCCAGCCTGGGCAACATGGTAAAACCCTGTCTCTACAAAAAGTACAAAAAAAATTAGCCAGGCGTGGTAGCATGCACCTGTAGTTCCAGTTACTTGGGAGGCTGAGGTGGGAGGATCAACTGAGCTTGAGGAGTTTGAGGCTACAGTGAGCCATGAGCAAGCACTGCACTCCAGCCTGGGTGACAGTAAGACCCTGTCTCAAAAAAAAAAAAGAGAAAAGAAAAAAAGAGAACCCAAAGAAATGGGTATTTTTATGCTAGGTTTGATGAGTGGTTAGTCATGCAGAAATATGATTGAACAAAGGGGATATGATCTAATGGTAATAAACTGGGAGGAATTTAGCAAATCCTTTTTGTTTAGGTACTTCTTGGTATTTCTGTGTCTCAGAATAGGATATTTCTTTGCTCCAAGTAGAGGATATACTTCTGGATTGAAAGTCTTACACTACTTTAGAGGAAGGTCAGAGAATTTCTTTTATGGCCTGCTTAAGGGGAAAAGAGTGGGAGAAGGTGGAAGAGACCTTCTACTTTGGCTCAAATGCTATGGTGCCATGTTTTGGGGTTGATTGTCCTGAACCCCATTAGAAGACATGAAGAAAATTTAAATTTGCTATAATATGATTTTCATTTTAATCACAGGAGTAATTATCCTTAAGGAACACTAATAGTAAGGGTTTGCAGAAACTAATTTGCATACATGTTTGAGATATGATTTGCAGTGCTTCTAAACATTGTAATTAACCTAATTTTTAAGTTAAGCTAATTTTCCATTCTATTACAGAACCTAATTCATATTTACAAAAATGAACCCCTTTTTAAAAAAAAACTTAAACTGTTATAGATTTTATCAGATTGCATGGTTTTAATCTAAATAGCTAAATTCTCTAGATTTGCATGCTTCTATAAAGCATATAAAACAAAATTTCATGAATTCAGTGTTTTGGAAGACTGTGTCTTGGAAATTTTCTATGTATACAGTGGACCTTTTGAAGAAATATCCAGCCTACAGTCAATGGATTTTTGCCAATAAGCCAAAATAAATTACTGTTATAAGGTGATCTATAAGCTTTTTTTTTTTTTTTAAACTATTTCTAAACATTTCAAACTTAATTTTTAAATATTCTAGTTTTGTACCTCTTTAAAAGCAGTTTTACTGGATTTTTGAGAAAGGTACAACCATACTTACATACTATAAATGACAGCAGAAGGGATTTAGCCAGTAGCATTAGAAGGCCAGGCATGGTGATTCATGCCTGTAATACCAGCATTTTGGGAGGCTGGGGTGAGAGGATGACTTGAGCTTGAGACCAGCCTGAGCAGTATAGCTAGACCTTGTCTCTATTTACAAAAAAATTAAAAAGAAAAAAATTAACTGAGACTGGTGGTGCACGTCTGTAGTCCCAGCTACTGAGGAGGCTTAGATGGGAGGTCACTTGAGCCTGGGAAGCAGAGATTGCAGTGAGTTCAGATTGCACCATTGCACTCCAGCCTGGGTGACAGAGTAAAACTCTTGTCTCAAAAAAAGAAGAAAGAGAGAGAGAGAGAGATAGAGAGAAGTAAGGCATCTCATTTGCCAAATGGAAGAAAATTTGTATTCTGATGTCAGTTAATTTAATCCTTTGTAGTCTGGGAACATCTGCATTTTGAGATTTAGAAAGGAATTTCAAGTATCTGTATTTTGAGAAATGTCTAAGCAATGATATCACCTTTAGTGGACGTAATAATTTGTTCCAGCATTTCAGCAAATAGAATTTTTTTTTTTTTTTTTTTTTTTTGTTTTTTTTTTTTTTTACCCGGTTTGGT